AGCGGTGGTTTTAATTTTAGATGTTGTCAGGCTGGAACCAGACCAAACCAGTGATCTTAACGTAAAATCCATAGACGCAACTTAATACTTTCCCAACATGGTGCATTACCTTCCCCGATCAGCTTTCAGCCTTTGGCACTTGTCTCTGCTCCCATCTGTTTTGCCTGCATGCGTCTCCCCTTCCAGACTTCCTCTGTCTCTTGTGGGTTCCTTTCCTCTCCTTCCCTACTTCGTTTCATTCACTTTGGTATGTTTAAAAGTTAACTTTTCTCTCTTATTGTTCTTCCTGTCTGGTTTTCTTAGCCTGGTTGTCCTAAGACAAGGTTATCGTCTCTACTACTGGTTTTTTTTCCCCTCTCCCCTACTTGTGTATCTCTTCGCTTTTGCCCTCTTTTCAGTTCATTTCCTTTCTCTCCCCATCCCTTCCTTCAAAGCCTTCCTTTTCCTACTAGCAACAAGGCACTGATTAGTCAGTGCCAGTCGTTCAGACTGGAGTCACAGTGCAGTGTTGTGCATCTCTTCAGTTTATCACTGGATACTACAGGAGTTCCTAAATATTTTTTTTAATGCTAATTTAAACCATTCAACCATATCTACATGAAACAAAGAGCAAATGAAATAGTTCTGTCCTGCTTTGAGTTCTGTTTGCTCAAATGCATGTGTTGGACTCTAGTGCGAGAATCTGGCACTGAAAGGTAATAGAGAATTATGATGCCATTTGGGAAAGAGCATGATTTTGAAGTCAAACTGTCCCCATGAGGAATGCAGCTCAGCATCCCCCTGATGTTGGCTTGGCGACGAGCAGGAGGGGTGGTGGGGGTAGGGGGCTATTCCCAGCCACTGTAGGAGCCTGTGAAAGAAAGATGGTGTGGGCTAAGCAGAGAGGCGAATATAACCTGGGTTCAAGCTCTCAGCCACAGTGTCCTCTTCTTTGTGCAGAATTTTGGATTGGACTATGATGCCTTCCAGCACATGGTGGGAGACTGTCCCCCCGACTTCCTCCAGCTGGCCTTCAACTGCTGTAACGTGAGTATCCTGCTCCGAGCAGAAGGGCTGATGCAGACTCCTCCTCTGGGCTGCTTGTAAGATGGGGATTGTATAATGTGTAGCTGACCCAGGTCCCTTCCTATCCTAGGCTCCTTAAAAGTGAGCTGAAAAACACTTCTCACTCTGTGCTTCCTCCTACTGAGCCACCAGGCTTCTTGCAGGCTGGTCCAGCAAGTTCTGGTTGTACTGTTTGGACCTTACAAGACTACCGGAGCCTTTGGAATCCAGCCAGCGCATGCTGTTTGGTCAGGGATGAGCTCTGAGCCCTTCTGCTTGTAATAAGGACAACAGGAAACCCACAGGGAACTGCCCCAGAGTGTCCGTAAACCCTCGTAGGAGAGAGGGTAGAACCCAAACCCTGCTGCTGTGTTCCATGGAGGGAGCAGGGCTGTGGAGCTTCAGTTCAGCTGCCATGGGTGTAACACTGGATTAGATAGGTAGTGCTTTGCACTGAAGGGATTCACTGACCCTTTCGCACATTAGAGGCAGCTGGGCTCTACGATGCTGCCGTTACAGCTCGAGGATCCAGCACACAGACGGGAAGGCTGCTGCTTTCAACAGTGACCTGATTTTTGACAGCCCAGTTCACTATCACTAGGCTCGGTCCCTCTGGAAATATCAGGCCCCTGCAGCTCCCAGTGGATTTGGTGCGAGTCAGGAGTGCTCAGCATCTCCACTCAGCTTCTGGGGGCATCAGGTTGTTACCCAACATTAGAGGGCACTTCTGAAAACGTGGTCCAAAAAGACCTCATCCCAGGCTGTAAGCAAGCAAGTGCAGAGCCAAAGAGCGCGTCCCAGAGTTTTGTGGATGAAGGAAGTTGGGAGCACCTGATTCTGTGCCTGGCTTAGTTAACATGTCTGAAGTGCTTTGGTTGCCTGACATGTTCTACACAGCAAGTGCTAAAAGCACTGCTTAGAGCAGCAATTAGATTTTGGGAGTTTGCAGCCCGCAGCTCAGACCACAGTGCTTCTGAAGACAGGATTCAGAATAGTTTCCTAGTACTGGGGAGACGGTCTGAGAAGTAAAATGACCAGCTGCATTTATTTCACTGTCTCCCCTAAGAACCAGCTTTCTTAACAGAAGGAGAGTTTGGGAGAGTTGTCACTTCTCAGGTTAATAAGCATGGTGGGGATGGTCCTGGCTTGGAGCAGGCAGTTGAACTAGAAACCTCCTGAGGTCCCTTCCAACCCTCATTTTCTATGATTCTTCGTCTTTCCTGAGGGCAGCTGGTCCCAAGCACGGCACCAGTGAACAAACGGGAGCGACTGTCACATTGACTTAACCATTGACAGAATTCCTCCCCGGGCCCAGCCTGGATCACTCATTCGCTCAGCACACATGGGATGAAAAGGAACCGGGAGAAGGTGGTCTCCTACCCCTTCTAGTGCCTGTTTGTGTTTCACTAGACAGCGATTTGGGCCTCAGTCTGCACCATGGCTGGGCTACTCCCTTTGTGTTTTCTTTGTTTAATAAGCTGTTGGACAGCCTGTGAACTGCATGGCTCTGCCTAATCATCTGCACCATAAATATGCAGACACACAGGTTTTCTGCTGCAAGGGAACGTGCATTAAGGTAGCCCAGAGAACCATCAGACCTCAAATACATGTCTTTTATGCATTCAAAAACTCTCTGAATTCAGTGTTAAGGTTGAGACTAACAAACCTCAAAGTCCCAAATTAGGAGTCTACTTACAAGTCCAAGTCACATTGCCTATGCGTGTGTGTATATATATGCGGTCATGTATGTGCATGTATCCAGAGATCCAGCCCTTGATGTACTCGATGCAGTCTGTCTGCTTCAGCCTAGCGGCCTGTTTCAGTGGCAGCTCCACAGATCAGAGGCATGGCCAGGACAGTCCTACAGCTGAGTGGACCGAATGCTTTAGCAGAATTTGGAGCTGCAGTGGAGGCAAAGGTTGCTGAAAACTGCCTCTTGCTGCCTTCCTCTGGCACAAGCTAGAGCAGTCGAGACTGTAGCGGGGCTGTTAGGAAGGCTAAGGCAGAGACAGAACTAGGACTAGCGACCAGGATCAAGGACAACAAGAAGTCCTTTTTTAAATGCATATGAAGTAAAAAGAAGGGACCAGGCAATATGGGGCCCCTGCAGGACATGCTTGGCAATCTGGTGATCGCACCAGACGATAAAGCTAACCTCTTTAACAAATTCTTTGCCTTCATTTTTCTGAGCAGGGACCGGGGACATCCCCCACCGGGACTCTGAACAGACTCAGGAGAGACCCTGCCAGGCCTAGGGTCAGGGAGAACCGAGTTAGGGAAGTTCTGGTGGGGTTGGATGCATTCAAATCAGCAGGTCCAGATGATCTCCACCCCAGAGTGCTGAGGGAACTGGCACAGGTCATTGTGGGGCCCCCGGCATGGCTTTACGAGCACTCGTGGTGCTCTGGCGATGTGCCAGAAGACTGGAAAAAGGCCAATGTGGTTCCCATTTTCAAAAAAGGGAGGAAGGAGGAGGACCTGGGAAACTATAGGCCAGTTAGTCTTACCTCAATCCTGGGGAAGCTCTTTGAGACTATTATCCAGGAGCACATCTGTGAGGGGCAGCAGGGGAGGTGATGTTTAGGGGCAACCAACATGGGTTCATTAGAGGCAGGTCCTGTCAGACCAACCTGGTGGCCTTCTATGACCAGGTCACAAAATCCTTGGATGCAGGGGGAGCAGTGGATATAGTCTTTCTGGACTTCAGGAAGGCCTTTGACACCGTCTCTCACCCCATTGTCATTAAAAAATTAGGTGGCTGTGGTGTCGATGCCTACATGGTCAGATGGGTCGCAAATTGGCTAGAAGACTGCACCCAGAGAGTGGTGGTGGACGGGTCATATTCGACCTGGAGGGATGTGGGCAGTGGGGTCCCCCAGGGCTCGGTCCTCGGGCCCGCACTGTTCAACGTCTTCATCAGTGACTTGGACAAAGGGGTGGAAAGCACCTTGTTCAAATTCGCAGATGACACTAAGATGGGGGGACGTGGGCACGCTAGAAGGGAGGAATAGGCTGCAATCGGACCTAGACAGGTTACAGGGGTGGGCCGATGAGAACAGGAGGGGTTTCAACACTGACCAGTGCAAGGTGCTGCACCTGGGGGGTAAGAGCCAGCAGAGACCTACAGGCTGGGGAACTCCCTTCTCGTCAGCGCAGAGGCAGAAAAGGATCTGGGAGTCATTATTGATGCCACAATGAACATGGGCCGACAGTGTGGGGACGCGGTCAGGAAGGCCAACCGCACCTTGTCGTGCATCCACAGATGCATCTCGAGCAGGTCCGAGGAGGTGATCCTCCCCCTCTACGCGACACTGGTCAGGCCACAGCTGGAGTACTGCGTCCAGTTCTGGGCACCGCACTTCAGGAGGGATGTGGACAGCATGGAGAGGGTCCAGAGGAGGCCACCCACACGATTGGGGGTAGCAGGGAAGGCCCTACGAGGAGAGGCGACGGGACCTGAACCTGTTCAGCCTCCACAAGAGAAGGCTGAGAGGGGACCTGGTGGCTGTCTCTAAACTTACTGGGGGGACCAGCGGGGAATGGGAGAGACCTTGTTCGCCCCCGAGCACTACTGGGAGTAATGAGGAATAACGGCCACAAGTTGACCAAGAGTAGGTTCGGGCTAGACATCAGGAGGCGCTACTTCACGGTCAGGGCGGCTAGGACCTGGAACCAACTTCCAAGAGAAGTGGTGCTGGCTCCTACCCTGGGGGTCTTTAAGAGGAGGCTGGATGAACACCTAGCCGGGGTCGTTTGACCCCAGTACTTTCCTGCCATGGCAGGGGTTCAGACTAGATGATCTCCTCAGGTCCCTTCCAACCCGACCAACTACGAAATGATTGTTCTTCGCTGCTTTGTTTAAATTCTCAGCCCTTCCATTGCTCATCGCTGTTCAAGCACTGAGCATCTGTTTCAGTTCCACCTGGTGAAACACTGCCCCTATGATCTCGGTTGCCCTGAACCCCTTTATATCCCTCTAGCTGTCCTTCTTTCTGCACGTGAGACAGTGTGGAGGAGCCCCCTTGACTTCTTGGGGCGCTTTGTATGTTCACAGATGGACCCAAAGTTACGTCCTTCGTTTGCTGACATCGTCAAGACGTTGGAGGATATTCTGGACCGCTTGAAGAATGAGGAGTCAGACCGGGAGAGGAAGTTCCTGAATCTGGATAGCGCTGAGAGAAAACCCATTTCCAAAGGTGGGTGGGTGTGCACGCGAGTGTGCATGTGCAGCAGGGGTCATTTCCGCAACGGCTGTTAGAGATGATTCCAGCAAGGATGTGATGCTTCTCATCACAGTGACAGCTCCTTCCACCCAGTTCCCAAAGAGGCCGTCAAACCAGGTGTAGTGTTTAAAACCATGTGTGCGTACACCACATTTTCTTCCAGCTCCTTTAATGAGCTCCATCCGCAACCATGAGCTGGAGTATATCTTGGCTTTGGTGTCTGGTTACGATAGAAATATCAGAGCTGCCCCTCCGAAACGGGCCGACGGCTCGGATCAGACAGTGCATTGAGTATGTCAAGCACTCGTCTGAGCACAAAGCCCTGTCGTGGCCCATGTGGAAGGCAGCCCTGCCCCATCCAGGGCCCGTGTCTTTCGCCACGTTGCCCGGCATTTCAAGACGCTCTGTTTCGCCACGTTGCCCGGCATTTCGCGACGCTCTGCTGCAACTCCAGCCTTTTTTCAGATCCTTTCTTCTGCAAAGCTAGGTGCTGCAGCACTGTCAGACCAGCTCTGTTAGAGGAGAAAGGACGCTTAAAGATGACCTCTGTGGGGATAAACCAGACCAGGACAAATGAGCAATACCCACCCCGCAAAACCCAGTGGCTCCTGCTGCACAAGTTAGGTCTTTCCAGTCTTGCCTTCGAAGGCCAGCGTTCCAGAGCCCAGCTGGAGGCGGCAGGGGTGGCTGAGCGGCACAAGCAGCCTCTGGGTGTGGCATGTGGCGGGGCAGGGAGCAGAAAGCGGAGCAGTGGATCAGGCAGGGGAAGGAGATCAGAGTGGCGCTCCGGGACGGTGCCGGGCATCTGCATTGTGCCCTGCAGATGTTCTCGCAGCGCCCCCTGGTGGGCAGAAGGGGTGGGAGCGATCCTTTGAGTTTGGGGAGCATGCTGGCCGGACCCCTCCTTGCACGGACGTTTGGCTTTGGGGGCTGACAGCCCGGGGAGCAGAAGCAGGGTAGATTTGAAGCCGAGCGAAGAGCGCGGGCACACAGTGGGAGTCATCCACAGAGGAGAGTAGGGAGCAGTCCGTTGTGCCCCAACTTCTCCCCAAAAGTTCCCAGATGGATAAAGAAACAACACACAGGGTTCTTTTCAATCACTTCCTCCATCACTTTGGACCAGCAAGTTACTTCCGGCTTCAGCCAAGCTGGAGCAGGGTCTCAAGGAACTACAGGAGTCTACACGTGTCACTAGCAGAGGTAGAAACCGAAAGGAATAAATCCAGCCTCGTTCCTACCACCGAGGGCAGATTCAACCATCAGCTGCAGCAGAAGTGTCTTGCTTTGCTGTCAAGTGCAGACATAGAAGTACCTTAGAGTAAGGGGCAAAGGGAGTCTATGAAGGAGGGAAAGCTGGGTAATCCAGGGGGTTAATATGCAGGGAAGGAAGGGTTTTTTCTAAAGGATGCATGAAACATTTAAAAAAAAAAAAAAGGCAAAAGGGGCAGTTCCCTCTGGGGTTGCTGAATCTGTGCTGCTCTGTCAAAGCAAGCATGTGTCTAGGCAACAGGAAAGAGGAGAGTTGGGCTAATTTGTGACCCAGGAGCGTGTGTGTGTGTGTGTGTGTGTGTGTGTGTGTGTGTTGGGGAGGCAGAGGAAGGATGCTCCCTGTTAAAGAGCAGCTGTAGGAGCTGAGGAATCTCCTTCCTTCATCTGGTTGCCCCGCCGCAGCTCTGGCATGAAAGCTGAAGGGTCTCTCTCTCTCTCTCCCACCCCCTCTCCCCCATTCAGGCCTGATCGAGAAAGGACAAGGAGTGAAACGCCTGAGTTCGCTGGATGACAAGATCCCACCCAAGTCGCCCCGTCCACGCCGCAACATCTGGCTGTCGCGCAGCCAGTCGGACATCTTCTCCCGCAAGCCCTCCAGGAAGATCAACGTCCAGGACCCCTACTACACACCCAGCAAGGGGGCAGGCCGCAAGGTCAACCCCTTCAACGCCAGGGAAGACCTCAAGGGGGGAAAGATCAAATTTTTTGACATGCCGAGCAAGTCTGTCATCTCCCTAGTGTTCGACTTGCACTCCCCTCAGATGGGGGGCTTCCCCAAAGCCGGCCAGTCCCAGTGCCGGCTGGCATACAGCATGGACTGGCAGGAATCTTCCCTCTTGGGGAGGCGGTGCAGATCTCTCCCAGTCTCCCCTGAGATCCTGCATAAGGACTGTGCTCCTTTTGGGGGTCTGTCTTCAACGGTGAGCAGGTGTGACTGCAGCCAACTAGGGGCTGAGGTCCGGCAAAAGCTCTTGAGCAGCAGTAAGTACGGTGTGGCCGAGATCCCCGCTTTCCAAGCCAAGTCTTGCAGGCAGGAGTCTCCTTCCCTGCCTGAGCCGGAGGAGGACATGGACTGCTCCAACGGGCCAGAGTCCCAGGAGGAGAACGGGTTCTATCCAGTGAGCAACACGTACGAGACCCCGGCCTGCTGCCAGCCCCTGGCACCAGCTCGGCCTGAGGTGCTGGCCTACAAGGGACTCTCCCCCCAGAACTCTGTGACCGCTGAGGAAGGCGGCTCCTTGGAGCTGTTTGCCAGCGGCACTCCCTCGGAGGACATGGAAGTAGAGGACGAGATGCAGAAGAACCTGCTGCTGGCATCTTCTCAGGCTCTGTTCAGTGTTAACCCCTCTCCGGAGCAGGACAAAGACGTGCTGCCCTTCAAAGGTGGGGGAGGCTCTGCCCCACACCCACTGGCACCCGCTAGTGCGGCAGCAGCTGGTAGTGCGCAGTCAAGGTGTGACATCTGAGGAGAGCGCACGAGCCCCCGCTCCTGTCCCTGTGGGGTCAGCGGTCCCCAGACACTGGGCTTCTAACTCTCTAGTGCTAAGGCTCAGATAGCTCAGGCAGCCCGGGCGCATCGTAGGAGCAGCAGGAGGCTGCCGAGGGCATCTGAAGAGACAGTATTTCATTTTCCAAGTGTCTATCACTCCTTAGCTCACTGCAGCAGGCAACTACTGCAGCTGCCAGTGGGCAGGACGCCCTCCTGTCTGGGGTCCCAGAAGCCTTGCAAGCCTGCATGCAGCAGGAGCTGGTACCGTGCACATGGTCGGACCCTGAGCTCCGTGCAGCTTCCAAGCACCTGCTCTGGGCTTGGGGATAGGAGATGTGTGTTTGTCTGAAGGACCATCCATGCCCTTTTACACCTCTGCATTGCCCTGGAATTGAATCGGAAACCTGCCCAGCTGTCTCGGGCAGAGCTGGGCAAGTCTAAAGCCTTCGGAGGAGTAGGAGCAGGGGGTGAAGTTCTGGCTGCAGGGCTGAGCAAGGAAAGAAGTGTCCGTCTGGCAGCAGGGGAGCACGTAGCAGCTTTGCCAAGCGCCTGCTAACCCACGCACATACAACAGGACCTTCCCGTGTTTCTTGTTCCTCTGGGAGTCTGTTCTAATCTGTCAGCACTGCTGCAATAGGCTGGCTCAGCAGCCTGACAAGTGCAGTCCCAGCCATAGCACCAGCAGGACGCAGGCTGCAGCAGCTTGTGTGCACTGCCCTCAGCGTGTCCCAGTCCTGATGGGGAAAGAGAGATGCCTGCCGGCTTGAGGAAGGGGAGCGCAGGCACCACGCACAGCCTTGGGGCCTCTTGCGAAAGCGCCAGTTGTGCTGGCACGTTTTTGTGGTGTGGAGGAAGCTGAGTTGTCACCACCTCGGCGCTGGTCTCCGCACTCTGGGAGCCACGACTGGGACACTGCTGATCCCAGCCACGCTCACGCCGGGCCCTCTTGCCCGCTTCTGTCCTTTGCGCCGGGCCGTTCTGTGGATGCGAGGCTCTTACACTGCAATAACAGCCTGTCCCTGCTTGAAACTAAGCAGCTTGCTCCATAGGTACAGCCAGGAACAGGAGGCTGCAGGGCAGTGGAAGCGGCAGCAGTTTTTGGCCATGTGAGCGCAACGGTAAAGGACCTTGTCTTTGAGGGAACATGGTGGATTCTCACAGACAGGCAAGAGGCTTATCGGAGAACCTGAAAAAGATCCATTTCTCCCAGTGAGCTCCTTCCTGTCTCTTGGGCGTTAAGGACGATAATCACTGTCCCTTGGTGGACACTGGAAGGAAGCAGAGGTGGGTTTGAAACCCCCCTTGGTGGGGGCCCTGGCGGATGTCGGAGCCTGGTCCAGCCCTGCCACGGAGGCAGAAGGAAAGCTTGTCCTAGGATAGTAATTTGCACAGTTTCCCACACAACCCTTCTTCACCCACACCTCCCCACTCTCCCTGCACGACCACTCTCAGCCCCGCTGGCCAGCTTCTCTGCAAGAGGTACGCTCACTCCGGCCCCGTCTCAAAGCACCGAAGACGTCGGAAGAGGGCTTGTCAGAGCCCGTTTGAGAGGGGTCAGTAATTCCTTCCTGGGCCACGAGCGATGCCAGAGGTGGTGCTACCTGTCTGAACCCAGCCGGCAGCATTGCCCTGTAACGTATTGGCCCTGAAGAATCGAATAGGAGCCCCGAGCTCCTTTGCGCAGCCCTTGCCAATAGGCAGCTCCCAAGAAGGGCCATCGATGCCCCTTGCCCCCACACTCCTGCCTCACAAAAAGTGCCAATTCCCAGCACGATCCTTTTCCTGTCCTGTGTGGCCTCCGGGGCTGGGGGAGCCGCAGAGCCTGGCAGGGAGCCCCTCTGGCTGCTCAGTCTCCAAAAGGAACAGCGTGCCGGCCGATGGGTCTTCACTGCCAGCTGATCCTCGCTGGGCATGAGGGAAACCACCAGGTTCGGCTGCTACAAGGCCTGTTGGGGATCTTGACTCCAGACCAACGAGCAATAATGACACCAGGGGCTTTGCAGCTGGGACTGTCTCTGGGCTGTGGATGAGTCTGTACTGCTCACTGCTTCCACTTGTGCCCCTGCCTCGGAGGGGAAGGACACAGCACCTCCTCGTTGGCTCTCACCTGCCTTCACGCTTCTCCCAGCTCTCATCCCAGGTCAGCCGGTAACACTGCACCGTGGGCACCCGCTGCCCCGCAAGGTTCCCGTCGTGTTAGCAGACCGCAATGTTTGGGTGGAGTCGGTCTCTGGCACAGCCCGGGCTCTGGTCACAGCAAACCCATCTGTTCCTAACTCCTGGTTTGTCTGAGACGGTAGCTGGTAAAATACCCCCCACTTGCACTGCTAAGAGGAGAGGCTCTTCATTTGGGAAACAGTTCTGCTCCCTGTAGCAGGCCAGCTGACCCAAGGGGCACGCAGCTCTCTGGTTTTGCTGCCGCTGGGGATAGGAACCAGCGATGCCACCTTCACACCAGGCCTCCCCAAAGTCCTGGCTTGCGGGGTGGATGCGGCACAGAAATCCAATTTCGAAAGGGGGCAGTATCAGTTAACGCCAGGTCTGGATGTGGCGAACACTAACCCTGAACAGCCCCTGGGCAGTTACGTGGATGCAGGGGCACGGACAGATGGGTGGTTTTTACTATTGGGAGGATGGGGACTTACCGCTCGCTCGCCGGTGCGCAGCGGCTGAGCTTTCATCGCCGTGTCATCTGTCTGCCGCTCCTGCAGCAAGCGAAGCTGCACTGCAACAATTTTAGCCCCCAATGAAACGGGCGGTATGTTCTTGCAGTTGAGCTTCTGCTTACCCTGGGATAGCGCAGGCAGGTTGCGGCTACGGCCAGCTCAGCTGAACTGCGGTAAGGCCCCGTCTCTCCTTTCCTGGTTCATCTGTCCGTGGCCTGTGTCCCTTCACAGAGGCTGCTCTGCCTAGTGCAAGCCATCAGGCCAACCCCTCATTTTATAGGAACGCTGTTTGTTCTGATCGGGTTTTATCATGTTTTCTACTTCCTTCCGGAGGCAATTTTTTGCTCTTTTAAACAGCTGTTTCTACACACGGCTCTGTTCCCAGGAGAAATCTATACGGTTTTAATTCACTTTGAATCTTTCTAAGTTGGGATGAGTTTAAATGTCTCTTATAAGCTATTTTTTTTTTAAATCCACGATTGATACAAGTAGGGGGGCACTTGCAAATCACTGCCCCGAGAGAGGGGCTGTGGGGCAAGGGGGCCGCTGGGAAGGCGTTGGCGTATTATGGATAACAAAATATTGGTATTTCATGCCAGTACAACTAAAGACACTTGAATAATTCCTGTTTGCACTTAATGCTACTGTTATATCGCATGTCACTACATTTCTATGCAAAAAAAAAAAACAAATAACCTTTTCGGGGGCAGCCGGATGTTTGATTTAAATAAGTTTAAAGATCTTTGCCAGATGACTATCTATTTTCATATTTATGAAGGAGTTTTACGTCTTAATATTTTCCAGTCTGTAAATAGCTAAACTTGTAATTAAAGGCTTAGGGAGAAGTTTGTAGCCTGTGTATAATAATAATAATAATAATAAGTTAACACTGCCAGGAAGAAATCTTTGCAAAACAACTCTTCTAATATTGTGGATATTTATGAAGCTGTAAAAAAAAAAAAGCAAATCCTGTTTTTAATGTCGATTGCTCTCCCGCTCGGGCGCGGAAGCCTGTGTTGTTGGAATCGCAGTGAGAAGTAACCAAAGATGAAGCCAGCAAAATATTTTCATAATTTTTTTTTCTTGGTCAGTTTTTTGTAAACTGTTTCCCAACTCGCTTTTAAAATAAAAAGAAAACCAAGCGCCGGCTCCTGTCCAGGTGAAAGCAGCTCCCCCCCCCAACTCATCACTGGTGTTTACGGTCCAAGAACAAGCATGTTTCATCTTGTGTTTCTCTTTGAAGTGCTGAGGCCTTTGAAGGGCTTGGCTGCCTCTGCATGACCGACTTGTGCGGCTTCCTGAATACAGGCTCCCCTGCTGTACCAGCAAGCATGGGAGAGCCTAGGCTGCCCTCCGAGCCTGGACTGCAAACACCGACACTTCAGTGTTTAAGAGCAGGAAGTGGCTCTGCTGCTGAGCTCAGGGGCTAGGCTCTGGCTTCACAGCTCAGCTCATTACAGTGGGAAGGCAGTACAGTAGGGTGGCCCCTGAGAGACTAGCTCAAGTCTTGTTGTATTTAACTAGGTTCAGTACAGAGGTGTGCAAAATCCTGCACTGGGGCCAGAGCAATGCCATGTACTGGCTCGGATTCAGAGAGACCTAGCCAAATTGAAGGCCAAAAACAAATCTCAGGAGGTTCAACAAGGACAAGTGCAAAGTCCTGCATGTAGGAGGGAGCAGTCCCATGCACCAGGGCAGGCTGGGGCTGACTGGCTGGGCAGCAGCTCTGCAGAAAAGGACCTGGGGGGACAGGGAACAAGAATGGGGGCAGGAGCCAGCAGTGTGCCCGTGGTGCCAAGAAGGTGACTGGCATCCCGGGCTGCATTGGCAGGAGCGCTGCCAGCAGATCAAGGGCAGTGATCCTTCCCCTCTATTAGCACTGGGGAGGCCATGCCTGGAGTCCTGTGTCCAGCTGTGGGCCCCACTACAGAAAGGATGTAGACACATGGGAGAGTCTAGTGGAGGGCAATGAAAATGGTTAGGGGCTGGGGGACAGGACTAGTGGAGGGAACTGGGCTGATTCAGTCTGGAGAAGAGAAGACCGAGGGGGACTGAATAGCAGCCTTCACCTCCCCGCATGGGGGCTGCAAAGAAACAGAGTTGGGCTGCTCTCAGTGGGGGCAGACAACAGGAGCAATGGGCTCAGGCTGCAGCAAGGGAAGTTGAGGTTGAATATCGGGAAATACTCTCACCTTGAGGGTGAAGCACTGGAGCAGGTTCCCCAGAGAGGTGGTGGTCTCCATCCTTGGAGGTGTTTAAGCCCTGGCTAGACAATGCAGTTGGGGCTGGCCCTGCTTGGAGCAGGGGTTGGACTAGATGAGCCTCCTGAGCTGCCTTCAGCCCTCATGGTCTAGGATTCTATGAACTACCTGTAGGTTGGTGTCAGCTGAGCCCACTTGTCACCCTGCTTTCCTGGGGGACCTTCCTCTGGTAGCTGGGTTTGTTCACATGGGCACAGGTCTTCCTGCCTGCTTTGTTCCCTCAGCTGCTGCACTTCATGGAGGTGCTGGTTGGGCCAGTCTGTGTTCAGGGGGACCCAACTCCAGCTCTGCCTTCAGCCAGACATGCACAAAGTGGTTCAATACCTGTACAGTGCCAGACTTCTCCCCCACCTGAGGTCAGAGCCCAAGCAGCTGGTTACCAGCCCTAGGGTTTCTTGGCACAGCAGCTAGGTGCCAGCATGGTCAGTAGCTGCTGGGGCCCTGCCTGGCACTTCCCAGAGTGCCCCAAGAGCACCACTGCTACCTGCCTGCATTCCCATGGGCTCCCCAGGGAAGGGCACTTGAGCAGCTGGGAGCAGGGCAGGCCCAACTCCTGGCTGAAGCAGCCACCCCCTTTCCCTTGGTCCTGGGGGGCCCTTCCTCAGAGCAGGGGCCAGTGGATAAGGGGGCAGCAGTGATCCCCAATCCCAGGCAGGCCCCCCTCCACCTCCAGCCTTCCTGAAGCTCTTGCCTTGGCCTCAGGAGCCTGTGAGAGCTCTCCAAAGAACCGGGCTCCTGCCACCCCAGCAGACTCTTACCTCAGCCGCTTCCTTGGCAGGGAGCAGCCTCATATCACCACGGGTGAAAGTCCAGGTGCAGGCTGAACACAGGCCCTGGCCCCCAAAAGCTCCGTGCTTGAGCTCGGCCAAGGCTGGCGCAGATCATGTAGTGCCCCGAAGGACAAGCATGCGGGGTTTTGGGGGAAGAGCAATTTAATTGTCCTGGCATTAAACAAGAACAGGATAGTCCCTCCCCCCACCCCACGAGTTGTTCATGGAGTCAAAGCCTCAAGCTTCTGGAGGGAAAATGAAAGAGCTAACCTCCCCCGACCCTTCCCCTGCCCCGCGCTAGCCACTGGCCCAGGCCAGCTTCATCTTCTGGCAGTGAGCTTTGGAGGACTTGGAGAACAAGCTCTTCACGATCTGCAGCGGCACCGACTTCCCGCTGAGGTACAGCTTGTTGTGACAGTCCGGCAGCCACGGCCCCGACTCGCCAGCTGTCCCTTTCTTGAGCATCCAGACATAGGCCATGATGTAGCCAGTCATGAAGGCGTCGAAGCCAGCGCGGTGAATGCCCCCATACGCGGGTGAGGCCTCGGCCTCGGCCTCTGGAGCCTTCCCACCAGGGGAGCCAGCGGCAGTGTCCAGGGAGCAGTCTTGGGGTGGCAAGGGGCCTGGCTCTGCTGCGCTCTCCCCTTGCTCGTCGTGGCAGGCGCTCCCTCCAGCGGTTGGTTGCGTGGTACGCTCCTGCTCCATGGGAGTCCCAAAGTCGTCCACCCCGACATCCGCGGTCCAATCCACGGTGCTCTCTGCCTCCTTGCTGGATGCCTTCCCCACAGGATCTGACCCCGCTCTGCCCTGCTTCCGCGGGGGCCCGTCCTCCCCATTGTGGACCTCCTCTGCTGCCTCTGGCTGCTCAGGCGCCTTGGCGGCCTCCTCCGTGTTCTTGCGCCTCTTCCACCTCTGCTTCCGCTTCTTCCGCTTCTCGGCCCGGAGCCGCTCGTCCTCATCGATGATAAGGTCAATGTTGTGGGACTGGGTGCACTTCATCCCATTGGGGCACCACCCGTAGGCCTGGCAGGAGGGAAAGGGGAGACATTAGCACAGCCTTTAGGAGCAGGAAGAACCTCCTGTTCCCCTACGGTTGCAGCCTGACTCCAACCCTCCTCTTAGGGCCAAGGGGCAGCCAGGAGGCCCGTAGAGCCTCACTAACCACCTGAGATTGAGCAAAGCTGTGACTCCAGGGAGTCAGTTTACAGCTCTGCAAGCCAGACAGCAAATGATGCTGGTCAACTGGCAGCAGGGGCTGGGGGACCTCTTGCAGAGCCTGTCCCAGGTCAACTCTCCCTGTCCACAGAGCCTGGCCCGGGCAGTGTATATTCCTCACAGTGCAGGGATACACAGCGTCTGCGTGTGGATATGGCTGGTCCTGGCATCCAGGGTGGGCCCCCCTGGGCACAGGCTCGTTCTGGGCTGCTTGTTTCCACTCCAGCTCTGAAAGTTTCTCAACTGCAAGGACTGTTCCTGAGGCATGAGACCAGGTGACCAGAGCTCCCCGTCTGCCTTCCCTGGGCCTTGTCCTCAGACCTGCAGCAAGGGACGGTCGCACGACTCACCGAGAAGGTCTCGCAGACGGGGACCTTGCTGGCCTGGGCTGCGCTGTGGTTGCTGTCCTCCAAGGAGCAGTATCGGTAGTCGATGTAGTGGGCCATGCTGGTGGGGTAGCTGCAGAACTCCACCGTGAGGTGCTGGCTGCTCGAGTCCTTCAGCTTGATGTTCTCCCGCTTGCTGGAACGCACAGAAGCGCAGTGAGGCTCATGGCTGAGCTCCCTGGGCCTTACTGGGGCAGGGAGGGGAAACGCTTCACCTGGAGACCATCTCTGCTTCTCAGAAGTTCGGCCCAGGCTTGGGAAGGTCTCCAGGGAGAAGCCACCTCTTAGCAGTCAAGTCTGTCAGCAGGGTGAATATTCAACAGCTCCTGCTTCTCGTACCCGGTGAAGGGTCCTGAGGGAGCGTCCTGCCCACATATGGCTTGACCAAGAAGGCTGGGGGTGTTGGGCAAAGCTTCCAGGGCAGGGCAGGTCCAGCCTGGTGCCAGCCAGGGACGATGCAAGGGAGCTGTATGCCAGCAGGTGACTGGGCCCGGGGCGGGAGACCCCCTTGGAAAGGAATGCCAGGGAAAAACCTCAGATGAGGGCTGGGCAGGGAGGCGTGGTGGTCCTGCCCTGCTCAGTCAAGCCTGAGAGACAGAGACTGCAGGGGAACAGCGAGTGGGGTCTGCAAGTGCTGAAGCCAGCCCTACCTGTTCACAGAGGGCTTCCCCCATCTCAAAGCACCCGATGGTTGCAGTTGGGGAGCACGGGGCTCCTCAGACAGGCGCAGAGCCAGGACTCTCTTCCTGGGGGAGCTTGGGGGGCTGCCTGCTGCAGGTTGCCTGTTCTAGGGCCCTGCTCCTGCTGCAGCCAGAACGGTCTGGAGAGGGCAAGAGGTGGACCAGGCTGCTTCCACCTCCTGCCAGCGGGAGTGCACACTACCTGGGCAGCAGCACGTCCCCATTGCTTGGGAAGCGGTCAGTCAGGCTCTGAACTGGGGGACAGACCATAGTTGTGCCTGGTGCATCACTGTGATGGAAGCACTGCACTTACATGTGGAGCTCTCCTGCCCCTCCCTGGAAGTCCTGGGGATGGATGGGCCCAGCTAAAACCTCCACCTTCCTGTTGCCCGTTTCCTGCCCAAGCTGCATGCATCGGGGCTAACACGTTACCCAAAGCTGGGGCCCAAACGCTCTCGATGGAGACCCAGAAGGTACAGAACAACACCAAGCACTCTGTGCCCTCCCCCCACACCTGCCCGGGCTCCACGTACCACTTCTTGTAGGCGTACTCCAGGTAGGAGGCCACGAAGCGGGTCTCGAACTCGGAGGCATACTTGGTGTCATAGATGCCGGCAGGGAACATCTCCGAGAGGTCGGCGGTGAAGGTGCCCAGGCTGTCGGGGAGGTGGGCGTAGAAGCACTGGTACAGGAACACCAGGTCGATGAGCCCGTTGTGCAGGATCAGGGGTTTCTTGGCCCGGATCAGCTCCAGAAAGAAGGACCGCACGCTCTGGCTCTGGTTCTCATTGCCCTGGGAACGGGAGTGCCGTTTAGCCCCATGCTACTCCTGGCCGTGCGGAGCCCCGTCCCCGGTAGGGGCCTGGATACACGTTCAAATTCAAGCCAGCTTGGAACTAGCTATAGCGGTGTTACACGTTTGCAACCACTAGTTTTGTAGCAGGTTAGCTCTCTTTAGGAGCTGCACTGTCGTTTTTGTGGCGTGACGATTACTTTGCCCCTGAGGCCGGTCTAAATTTATTGCGCGATTCACCAGTTAATTGTGTAATATATGAAACGTGTAGCAAGGGCCTAAGAAACCTCAATGGCGTCTGTCCCAGGGGGTGGGAGTGATCCCCCCGGCACAGCGCAGCGTGGGGCCATGCTGCAGTCAGGATCCTGGTCTTACCGGTCCCAAGCAGGCACAGACGGGGGTCCCAGACCACCAACCAGCCCCTAATTCAAGCCCCCTCCTGTACATTGGCCTCGTGGTGGCTGTGGTTTCTTGGACCTGCTTGAAGCAGGCTCCCCCCCAGCCCTCCGCAGGTGCTGGAGATGTAACCTCACCCTTGAAGCGGGTCTCCTGCCAGTTACGATGCTGCGAAGGGGGCCGAGGAGAGGAGCCCCCCCAGGGCACCAGTACCTTGTCGTTGCCCTTGTGGTAGGGGATGCCCTGCGAGTACTGCTTGTTGAAGTCAAAGCCGTGCTGCACCAGGAACTGCACCGACTGCGGCTCGATGACGTAGTCCTCCGTGCACAGCAGCGTCAGGTTGTAGATCTGCGACAGGTAGGTGTTCTCCGACTGCGGGGACGGGCGGCAAGGAGTCAGCGTGGCTACAGAGCCCCCCGATTTCAATGGGACCTGATGCTGGTTTCCCTCAACGGGAGCGTTCAGCTCCTTCATCGAGCCCTCCTGCACACGCTTCCCCAGGACGCCAAGAACCGGAGGCAGCGGCAGCGTCTGGCGCAGCCCGGCCCCCACCTACCTTGTCCGGGAGCTGCTTGAAGCAGGCGATGCCCAGCGAGAGGACAGAGCGGGTCCTGGCGGCGTTGCAGACGGCCTTATATCGCTCCTCGATGCACCTGGGCGAGACGGGGCGCGTGAGCCGTCGCTGCCGCAAGCGCCCTCGGGGCGAGGAACGGCGCGGTGTCGTCTCCCGTC